ATAAGTAGATTTAGAAAAGATCATAACAATTTGAAGCCATTTGGGTCAACTTCTGTGTGTGTGTGTTGTGTTGTATTGTCTTATCTTTCTTCTTCTCTGGCATGGTAATGCATCTGTCTTTTCTTAAATAAATTGTGGGTATTATTTGTTCTTAGCCTAGCTTACCCTACCTTTAGTGACTCTAGGAATAAAAGAAAAGTAAGGCATTTTTCCTACCTTGAGAGCTTTTCTGGTATCATTATAGCTCACATAAAAATCTCTGCAGTTATTCTTTTTAAACAGAGTCTGATTTTTATAAATGATTGATTAATCTCTTTAGGCACAGACAGTATAATTCCCAGCTCATGTTTTCCATTTGATAGTGTATTGCCTCATTTCATTCAGCGCATTAAACATTGATTAGCTTTCTCCACGATGTGATCCTTTGGTCTGTAATTAATTCATCTATTTGACCAAGGAGAATAGGACTGAGTAGAGACAATAAAGAATAAGTTAATTAGCACCTCTCCCCATCTTAATAACCAATGAGTTTCCAAATTAAGTTTCAGACCTGTGACCTAAAGCCTCCTTTTGAATCAAGCCTTGAGCAGGTCTGAGTGTGGCTGAATGTGGTTACAGGTGTGGGGTGGGGCAAGGACAGGGTAGCCATGGTAGGGATTCTGCCAAGTTCTTTAGAAGCTTTTTCCAGGGCTACCATAAAGCTGAAGTTTGTATTAGAACAACTGACTGTTTCCTTGATGATAGAGGACATGGAAGTTGAAAGGGGAATTAATTTACATTCCATAAAACAAGACTTACTGAAAGCCTTATTTTACATCCCCCCCCCCCAAATCCCATCTTTGCATCTGTTCCTGTCTCCTTCATATAAAATTTTAAAAATGCTTTCAGTATCCTGATTGTAGCTCTCTTCCTTTCTGTCCTTTTAGTCTGTTTCTCCTCCAGTACAGTCTCTTCATATCCTTTCTTATGGTAATGGTTCTTGTCTCTTTCATAACTGTAACAGCTTACTATTTTTCAGGCACCATGCTCAATATTTCACATATATTGTTGAACCCCTGCAGGAATTTTATTATCCCTGTTTTCACATGAAAAAACTGAGGCTTTGAGAGGTCAAGTGACTTACCCAAAGCCACACATCATCTGAGTTCTAGAGGTGGGACAAGATCCCAGGCATATCTAGGTATAGCCAAGGTTTCCAGTCCAAGTTCTCAGATTCTCTGTGATGAAGTATGTTCATTATAGAACTTTTCAAAGAAACAAAACATAGAAATATGCCTTTTAAAGCATCCATGCTATCCAAATCCACAAAGAAACAGAGATGAAACTTTGTTATCTTTCCTTTCAGTATTTTTTAATACATAATAAAGATATTTTTAAAAAACTGAACACAATCATTTGATGATCATTTTTTTTTAATTTTATTATTGGGGCATAATTGCTTTACAGTGTCATGTTAGTTTCCGCTCTACAACAAAGTGAATCAGCTGTGTGCATACACACATTCCTTCCCTCTTGAGCCTCCCTCACACCCTACCCACATCCCGTCCCTTCAGGTCACCACACGGCACTGTGCTGAGTTCCTTGTGCTATCCAGCCATTTCCGTCTAGCTATTTATTTTAGACATGGTAATGTATGCGTGTAGTGTGTAGTGTCATGGTAGTGTATATGTGTCGGTGCGACTCTCCCGATTTGCCCCCTCCTCCTCTTCCCCCATCTGTGCCACATGTCCATTCTCTACGTCTGTGTCTCTATCCCTTCCTTGCAGATAGGTTCATAGTGAATTAAAATTCTTTAAAAAATGTATAAAAATCACAAATCTTATTCACAACAGAACATACTTTAATACCGATGAAAGAGGGTAGATATTACATATTATTTTAAATATCTTCAATGCATAATAAATAATTTTTAAGTATTATTTGACTTTCAGTGACACCATATCATATTTCAGAATATTTGTCTAGTGCAAATTTTAGATTAGATCTTGTGGACTTGTTAGTGATGAAATGTTCTTTTTGTTTCTAAGACATATTTACCAATAGCAAGGAAATGTACCAGAATATCCAAAGAAAATTATTAAAATTAATTTTTTTTTAATCCTGGGCTCCCCTAGTGGCTCAGATGGTAAAGAATCTGCCTGTAATGTGGGAAACCCAAACCCATGTTCAACCCCTGGGTTTGGAAGGTCCCCTGGAGAAGGGAATGGCAATCCACTCCAGTATTCTTGCCTGCAGAATCCCATGGGCAGAGGAGTCTGGCGGGCTATAGTCCATGGGGTCACAAAGAGTTGGGTATGACTGAGCAACTAACACTTTCACTTTCTAATCCTGTGAACAATACTCATCTATAAAAAGGATGTCGTAGACTTATATTTGAAATAGCAAGCACTGAAAGAGTGAAGTCATTGTCTATTTTAAAAATAGTGTTGACCGAAAAGTTGAGAGTTATATTTTATTTGGTGAAAATTTTTAGAGCTTAAGCCCAAAAGGCAGCATTTCAAGTAGCCCTGAGTGAACGGCTCTGAGGAGGCAGGGAGAGGAGTCAGGTTCTTTAGAAATGTGCAAGAGCCGGCAGGCAGCCTGAGCGTCAAAAGTATTTTTGTGAATTAAAGGAAACCAGATATCTCAAGTTAAGGAATTTAGTGCTTTTCTCTGTATGGGAAGATGCAAGAGTCAGGGATCACTGAAATCACTCCTTTCATATGCTTCTCAGCTATCTGGGGCCTGTATCGTGTGTTTCCCACATCCTGAATTCCTCAGTGCTCGCCTCAGGGAGTGGCTGCAGCCTAGTGGCTGCCAGATTGCAGGTATCCTTCTTTCCCGAGTGCCCCTAGGGCTCAGAAATGCACATGGAGGGCCTGAATCACTGATGACTGCGGCATACTTCTTTACTGACATGGCGGGAATACTGCATTTCTCACCGTCAACTTAATTGCACAAATAAAGTAGGGAGGAAATTTGTATGTAAATGACTTTCTAATACAATGGCTCAATGATATGATAAAGGCTTCACATTTTACTGAAACAGAGTATTATTCGAGTTTGAAGCTAGCGATATATTTATATATTTCAAAGTGAATTCAAATGCTGCCTTTATTCACAGAGATTATCTACTGGTAGAGAAAGCAAATTCTAAATAGTCATGACCCTCTAGCCAAATGCTATTTCAAGTGACTGGGAGGAAGGAAAGTTGAGTGCCCTAGTTTGGCTTGATATTCTTTCCTTTTTAATTTTAAGAATTTGAATGTAAACACCTCCCCTCACATTCCTTTTTTTTTTTTCCTTAAACAGTTAACTTTGAGTAACTTTGTATCAGCTTAAGCTCCAGAAAAAGACCTAACTGGATTGGAATCCTGTCGCTGTTGTCACCAACATTGTGACCTTGCCAGTAAAATTTCATTGGTGTAAAATGAGAATCAATGCTTCATAAATGGTTTGACTTAAATACAAACAAATAAGTGAAGTGACAACAATGATATGATATGGCACATAGTAAACCCTTTAAATTTTTCAATTTCCATCCTGTTTACATTCAACAAATTCTGGAGCACATCTTGAACCCACCTATCAATAGCTGCAGCTCTCTTGTGTATGATCTGTTACAGTTTAACATATGTCCATTTATTTATATGTTTGGTTACTCTCTTCACTAGGCATGTTATTCTCTTTTCATTGGAAACTAAAATTCAAAAAAGTTGAAGTGACTTGACCATGGTCACACAGCTGATACACAGCTGGGATGCAAATCCAAACCTCCTGACTGCTAGTCTGGTGTTTTTTTGGGGGGTTGGTTTTTTTTTTTTTTTTGGTTTTTTTAGTGCACTAAAGCTGCCAACTTTGTCCACGTGTTTAGGAAAAAAAACATCTGATTTAGGCTGTGATTTCCTCACCCCAACATTTGACAATTAAGGATTCCACTGTATACAAAAGGAAAAAATTGAGTAGAGTTTGAATAGCTATAGCATCCAATTTTTTTTTTTAATGTCAGTCACTCCCTTCTATGGAAAGCTGTGTTTTAAGATATGATTAGTATGCTGAGCATAGGGTGATGGTAAACATTATGTTTTTGCATTATCATGAGATGACAAAATTACCCAGTCTCAAAGGACCAGCAGCTGCAGGGTGACTGGCACCCATGATGCCTACATTCTCAAAACTATTTTAACTGGTAGTTTTCCATGATTTTTTTTAGTCAGAGAAGAAATGTATGTGTAAACCTTTTAAAGCCATAGCATCTGTTATGATGAAAGGACACCCTGGAATCTTAGTGAGATTGTTCTAGCTCAAGAATTTGAAGCTAATTAAGATTTTTATTGAACCAAGAGTCCTGTAACTCACTTCCTCAAACAGACAGAAAAATTATGAACAAAAAAGGTAGGAAAATTCTTCCCATGCTTTTTATATTATATTTATACTACATGTTATCATTTTAAATTAATGTGCACAACATACATGAAACTGTTCATTACATTAGATGTATGTGTCCCAAAAGGAAAGAACAAATTTTGAAATAGGAAGACATAAGATTATACCCAATCTCTAATCAAATTGCTCACAACTTTAGACAAAGAACTCAACCACTTGAAACAGCTCTCCTTTGTGTGATGTGGATAGTAGATCTTCCACAAGATTATGGAAGAAATCCAGAAGTTAAGGATATTATAAATCAGCAAATTATGCACTGCTGGGGTGGGTGGGATGAACTGGGAGAATGGGATTGACCTATGTGACTACCCCATATGTGATGTAGTCGCAATCAAAGTGGACTGGAGTTCAGGACAGGACCTGACCAGTAGCGTGGTCAGTGTTGGGAAGACTGGGAAAGCTGAGGGGTTCAAGGTTTTCTTGATTTCCTTCATATGAAGCATTTCTTCCAAATATAAATATGTTAAATTGCCAATGTGCTTTGCTTCCCCACAGCTTCAGGTTAGATGGTCATGATATTCTTTCAGAAATTCTCTTGGACACTCCTGACTTTTACCCGTCTTCATTTGTTTCAGGGTCAATGATTGTATCTTACGGGTGAATGAGGTGGATGTGTCCGAGGTTTCCCACAGTAAAGCGGTGGAAGCGCTCAAAGAAGCAGGGTCTATCGTTCGGCTGTACGTGCGTAGAAGACGACCCATTTTGGAGACTGTTGTGGAAATCAAACTGTTCAAAGGACCTAAAGGTAATAGAAACGTGAACAACTCACAATAGGATACCAGTGACAAACTATTTGATTAAAGCTTATGCAATAACCCACCCACACTGTACTCTGTTCTTTTATTCTCTGACGTTCAGTGTTTACCAGGAGATTTGAAATCCAATGATGATAGAATTTTACAGAAAGTAAAAGAAGCCAATACCGTAACTATGAACTCAGAGAAGTAAGCGATAGATTTCTAAAGAAATATTCTCATAAACAAAAACAACAAAAACCATCTAAATTTTTCTATAAATTTTTAGCCTTATCAGATCATCCTGACTTAGCTGGCATGTTAATACTTTCTAACTTTTCAAATGTAAATGGTAATCTCCCTCCTTTAATAAAATAGTAATGTGCAAAATAATAATTTGAATAGTCTATCCTGAAATAATTATTATGTTTTATGACACTTGTGATTTGTTTTGATTTGGTGATACTTTTACCCATTTTATTTAATAAGTACTACGTGGCATTTTACACTTGCAGTAGTCAAAATAAGTTAAAATTTATTTTTTTGAAATGTTCACAAAGCTCTTGAGGTAACTGCAGTTACTTTGGGGAATCATATGGACAGTGAGAAGAATCATATGAATTTCTAAGAAGAAAACTTTGAGCTCTGCTCTTCAGAAATGATAACATTTAATATTAATAGTATTTCAGGTATTTTATAAAAATCTGTTAGCTTAAAAGTACTTAATTATTTTAAAAGATTGTGACTAGAGAGGCACTATAGTCTTTTAGTAAATTATTTCTCTTTCCCTTAAAATCTGTGTAATCTCTAACGCTATTATTGTTGTCATTGCTTAGTCTCTAATTGTGTCTGACTCTTTTGTAATTCCACAGTAGCCCACCAGGTTCCTCTTTCTATGGGATTTCCCAGGCAAGCATACTGGAGTGGGTTTCTATTTTCTTCTCCAGGGGATCTTCCCAATCCAGGGATCAAGCCCACATCTCTTGCATTGGCAGGCTGATTCTCTACCACTGAGCCTCCAAAGAAGCCCTCTAATGCTATATCTGATTTAAAAAAAAAATAAGCATACAACCTTCTCTGGGAGGTACTAGTGGGTGGTATTTAAGATCTCAGACCCAAGAGTCAGGCAGGCTGGAGTTTAAAAGCCTAGCTCAGCCACTTACTAGCACAGTGACATTGGTTAGACCAGCCCCTCTTATTTTTAAATGGGGATTGTGATGGTAGCTTCCTGGCACTACCATAAAGGGGCCTCCCCTAGTGTCTCAGACAGTAAAGAATCTGCCTGCAATGCAGGAGACCCTAGTTTGATCTCTGGGTCTGGAAGATCCCCTGCAGAAAGAAATGGCTACCCACTGCAGTATTCTTGCCTGGAGAATTCCACAGACAAAGGAGCCTGGCGGGCCACAGTCCATGGGGTTGCAAAGAGTTGGACGCATCTGAGTGACTAACACTTGAACTTTCAATGGTAGCATCCCATTGGATTTATGAAAATTAAATATCTAATATCTGGAGAGTACAGAGCAGGAAAGCTTGCTGGTTGAGTGCAAACTCCAAAGTATCTAAGCTGGAACCCTGGCTTGGCAGTTCACTAGCCATTTGATCTTGGTCAAATTTCTTAACCTCTCTGAGCCTAATTTTCTTATCTACAAAATGCAGATAATACTAGCACTTGCCCCTTGAAATACTGTGAGGATTAAATGAGTCAATATACATTAAGTGTTTAGAGTAGTACCTGGCACCAATTGACAACAAATATTCACTATGTATATGTGAATGTGTGTGTGTATTAAGCGCTTAGTCATGCCTGATTCTTTGCGTGGACTGCATGCCCAGCAGGCTCCTGTATCCATGAGATGGATTTTCCAGGCAAGAATACTGGAGTAGGTAGCCGTTTCCTTCTCCAGGAGATCTTCCCAATGCAGGGATTGAACCAGTCTCCTGCATGCCAGGCAGATTCTTTACCCACTGAGCTACCAGGGAAGCCACATATATGTCATTTGTAGTTTGCTACATATGGTTTCAGCCTTGACAGTTGTTTGGTAATCTCATAAAAGAACCCAATTGCCTCATGTGTTAAATCCAAATGCACTAAAATCACAGAATTAATTTGAGTGTGGGGAGAGTAAAGCATTTCCACACCAATGTCTGGTAATATGTAAGAAAAGACTTTCTATTCTACACATTTTCATATTTGCCATGTGTTTTAAAGTTAAAACTAATAAGCATTCACTATTTAAATTTAAAATATCTGCTAAAATAACAGGTAGGTACTTCTACAATTCAGTTGACTGCAATTGTTCAGGTCAGTCTTAAGACAAATCCCAGTTTCAAGCACTCAGCAAAGCATTACCATCCATTAGCAGACCTCCTGCTAGCTGAGTCGTTCAACGGCCTCGGTTGCTCAGCAGAGCACTTAAAGGTTCTAGGGAATCGATAGCCAAAACTCCTTAATCTGATTGAGAACACATTATTTTGGATCTCTATCTTTGGTGCCACAGCCCCCCCGGCTGGTGTATTTCTATCTGAACTGTTTTCTCCTGGGAGCCAGGAGTGAAATAGCCCTGGGACAAAAAGAGGCGGGTGGGGAGACAGATAAGCTTAAATCAACCAGGAATACCCAGGCAATAACCCAACGAAAGAACACAGCATATGGGTGATAGGCTTGTTCTACTGGGGAGAGGAGAACCAGGAAACTGTTAGAGATAACTTTATACCCATGAAAGCAGGCTCCTGCCAAACTGCTGTAGAGGTTTGTGGACCTCTTGGTCCTGTTGAGATTCTGCTGGATCTGTCCTACTTTTTTGTCCTGTCACCATACAAGTCACCGATGGGGATTTGTTTCTCTGTGTAAAGCTTATTGATTTACAGAGAAAGAAACTGTTTTAATCACTATTTGAATTCCTGATGCCTTTCCCTGAGTGTTGAAGGAAATGCTGAATCAGAGTAAACTGAATAATTAAGTTGGATTCTACACTGCATCTGATGATACCTTCCAGTCTTAACTTCCCTTGGTATCTCGCAATTCTTTATTTTTGAATGATGATCTATTTTTTTAAATTTCTGCCAGTGTTTAATCTTGTACTATGGAAACTCTTATGCAGTGGAGACAATGGAGATGAATCAGATGTGTTTCTAATGGGATAGGGAAACATAAAGGTAACTCACTTTAGTGCTAGACAGAATGAAATCAGCTCTGTGGTTGAACTTGAGCTATGATTCCAATTGAATTGAGCAGAGAGAAAGATGTGATTCATCTTAATCAGAAGAACCAAAATGCTCCAGAGAATTTAAAATTTAATATATGCTTTCAGACCTTTATCTTCCCTTCACTGAGCATGTGGGCATTCTAGATAGTAAATATCAACACTCTAGCCAACTGGGCTAGCTACCCTCAATTATGAGTATATAATACAGAGCTAGCTGACTGTGTTCATTAATTTCCTTCTTCAGTGATTCAGCAAATATTTATTAAGCATTTATCATGGACTTGACACAGACCCAGGCAATGAGGATTCACAAAGAAAATGGAGAATTTTTGCTCAAGAAGATTATGGTCTAATGTAGAAAACACCTATAATATAAATTGAGAAACAAGCTATGAATGAACATAAATGATTGTAAGGAGGCACCAATTAGGTAATGGGTCAAAGACGACTTCTCTGAGAAAGTGCCGCTTAAGCTAAACTTTGAGATTCATATAAAACCAGACATTAGCTGGATAAAGAGTGGAGGAGAGTATCTAGACAGAGTAAAAGCCTGTGTATATGAAGGCCCCAGGGTAGGAAGAATCTTCATACCTTCAGGACTGAAAGATATGAGTTGTGACTGGAGTTTACAGACAGGATACTGAATGACATGAAATGATACTGTCAGGGTGAACAGGGACCAAATCATGTTCAGCTTTGTTGACCATATTTGCAGATTTGTTATTTTATTCCAAGTGCAATGGGAAGTTCTTGCAAAATGTTCAATATGTGAGAAGGTCAAATTTGTTGTTTTTAGGAGAGCACTTAGCCACTGTGAAGAAAATGCATTGAAGGGGCCAAGAAGAGAAACAATGACAGTTAGGGGTCACTTGGAGAAGGAAGAGAAAGGTGAAGTTTTCAAGTATATGGTGAAGATATGTTGGCATTTGCCATATAGTGGCCTTGCCACTTACTGACAGTCTAGATGTGGCATTTGCCCAAGGATGAACTGTTTTGTAACTAAGCCATTGAATGGATTGAGGTGCCATTTGTGAGATGGGGAAGCCTGTGGAGGAACCCTTAGGGGACTATGCTGGGCACATTGGAAAGACTGCGATGATTCTGAAAAAGAGGCAGAATTGAAAAACATCTGTCTGAAAACCCTGTTAATATTCTGAATTTTCCCCATTTTCTATCAAATATCTGTAGTTGGGGAAATATCTGAACAATGACTTTCTCACTTTTACCAATAAAAATTATGACTATGGCTACTTCAGCTACTTAGAACAGTGGTAAACATTTAATAGATCTATTTTATAGACACTCTTAATGCCCAGATGATTTTGGGGGGTTATTTTTGGTTTTGTTTATTTGTTTTTACATGAAACAGAAGGTAAACAGTATTTCTTTTCATTATATAGATGCAATGTTAAGGGATTCCTTGAAAAAATAATTTGTAGTAGAATTAAATTTATAGTTTTCCAACTTATACTCATGTTTATTCCATCTGTGGTACAAGCGACTACTTCTGAGATCACCTTGACGTATGTGATTTGTCTTTATGATCTTATGGTGGTACTGATCTTCCCATTATTTGACTAGAATCATCTGGTTGATAATTTGTGACCATATATTTAAGTAAGGAATATTTGGGTAGTATGCCAGACTGATTGAGAATGTTTCTTCTTAACGATATATAAAAATTTCCCTACCCTCACAGATTTGGTCATTGCCAGCAGCTGGGGTGTCTGTGTACAGGCACTCAGTTGAGAAAAAAAATGGCTAATCACGTATAGGAAGCTGTGATTAGGCAAATCCATTTAGAC